GTCCGCCGCGGCTCCAAGGCGGTCACCCGTCACTGGAAGGCCATGCACTTCCAGCGCCAGAAGCTGATGGCCGTGACCGAGTACTTGGCCCCGCGGCCGGCCGTCCCGCTGCGCTGCCAGGTCCCCAAGAAGGAAACACTCGAGGAGGTAATTTTCTGGCGTGTGACCGTTGTGGGTGTGCGGCTGCGGAGCCTCAGTATCCGAGGAGACCGAGTGGCTTTGCATACCCTATCTGCGGGGATTTGACGCGGGGTCCGTGGGCCCCACCGGCTGTGGTACGGACCTCCGGCACAGCGCTGCCACGGGGTCAGCCGGGGTGGACACCAGTGCGAGAGCTTTCCCGCGTGTTCGCTGCCCCTTTTCATCACACTGTGGGTGGTTGGGAGATGCACCAGCTGGTAATCAAGTGCTGGAAACCAGGTGGGTACCGATCCGTGGCAGCACCTCACAGCAGTAGGTCCGTTTGCGGGGTCGGAGTAGGGGGAGGCGGCAGCCTTTGCCCCTTCCCTGTGGCCCATCACTGCTCGCTCCCTTCAGGACAACGGTTACGTCCGGCTGTTACGGCGGCAGGTGGAAGAGGTGTTCCGGGACAATCGGATGATTGTCGTGTGTCAGTACAACTCCATGCCCGGCGAGGATGTGGTGCTGATGAGGCACTACCTCCGGAAGCACAACATCGAGGTCAAGTTCGTCCTGAACGAGGTAGGGCAGATCTTAGCATGGCTGGGGGGATGGTGGAGGGAGACCAGGACGAACGCCTGGTGCCTGCCGGGGTGAAAAGCTGCATTTTGAGGGCTGTCTCCCCAGATTGTCAGGCCTGTGCTGTCCCAGTCCAAGTACAAGAATCTCCTTCCTCTCTTTGTGGCGCGCAATATTCTGCTGGTGAGCCAGGAAGCGAAGGTGAAGGAGATGCTGCGGGTGCTGAAGGGAGTGCCACAGATCAACCTCCTGGGTGAGAGCCTTCTCTGTGTCCCTGTCTGCTGGCGCTGAGCCTGGGGCTCTCGTCTGGTGCTGGGAAGAGCTGCTCCCTCTGGCAGGGTCCACGCTGATGGAGCCGTGTCTGCAGGATCTGCGTCGTGTCCGTTAAAATGAGGGGATGGATGGGGGGGGTGGGAGTCCTGCCTGCAGGAACCAACCTTTCCCCCTGCACCTGTGGAAGACAAAAGGGCTCTTCATCATCCTCAGGGGGAGCTCAACCATCCTCAGTTCTGCTCCTTTCTTCCAGGCGCCTGCATCGACGACACCATCCTGAGCAGGCAGGGAGTGGAGAACTTCTCCAAGCTGCCTTCTCTGGAGGCTTCCCAGGGGCAGACGGTGGGTGCCCTGGCCCTCCTGCCCTCCCAGACGTCCTCCCTGCTCCAGCGCGGCTCCGTGCACCTCCTCAGGGGGAGCTCAACCATCCTCAGTTCTGCTCCTTTCTTCCAGGCGCCTGCATCGACGACACCATCCTGAGCAGGCAGGGAGTGGAGAACTTCTCCAAGCTGCCTTCTCTGGAGGCTTCCCAGGGGCAGACGGTGGGTGCCCTGGCCCTCCTGCCCTCCCAGACGTCCTCCCTGCTCCAGCGCGGCTCCGTGCACCTCACGGCTCTCCTGGACCAGCACATCCACCGGCTGCGGGCTGGGGAG